AAGTAAACATAATAATATTTTCTATAGTCATCTATAAAGGTGATAAAATATTTTTTTCATGCCTTTGGTCAAAACACCATTAAATTCACAAATGTCAGTATGAACTAAATCAAACAACTCAGAGTTTCTATCAACCGATTGAAAAGGTTTTCTTGTTTGTTTAGTTGTTGCACATACTTGATATTTCTTACTATGATCTAAAGAGTGTTTTGGAATCATATTAAGATTCATCATTCTTTTTACAGAATTAAAATTAATATGACCAAGATATCTGTGCCAAATATCAGATGATTCAATATTATTACTAACAGGATAATCAGAAACAAAAATTTTATTTATTTCAGAACTAAGAACAGGTTCTGCTCTAACCTTATACATTTTATCTGAATCGTAGCCTTTAAAGATCCAGTGTGTGACATAACTATTTTATTACATTTAAAAGAAAACTCATAACATTCCCTAACTAAACATGAACCACTGATAATGTTACGTTGAACAGCAAGAGCATGATACACCTTGTCTAATGATAGAACTCGCCCTGAAGGAAACTTTAGGTCCACTCGTCCATATCCTAACACTTTAGATGCATTTTGGTTCCCCATCCTCACTGTATTTCCATTTGCAGGCTGATAAGACACAAATAATAATTTGTCAACACAAATGTGTACATGTGCACCAGTGTCTACCAAATATTCATTTGGTTCATAAATATTTAGTAATTCAGGGTTAATATAAACATACCCTTCTATGGACCCAGTAGGCTCAATCATAACCATGTTAACCTGAGGCACACTAGTGGACCTTGGATTGACTTTAGCTTTCTTTGTAGGACAAGGTTTAGCCTAATGTCCAGCCTGTCTATAATTCCAACATGGTTTGTTTGATTTTGGTTTCTTTTGGATCTTAGATTTAGCTTTGATTTTGTCATGTGGTTTGCCATTAGGTTTTTTTTAATCTTTTTCCTAGAAGTTATAACATTTACTTTAGGTTGGTGCTCAACAGGCACAACATGTTTCTGATTCTTATGATCTTCCTCAATAGCTATGATAATCATCAAGTCATCAAGATTTATTTTTTCCTTACGATGCTTGAGAGACATTCCAAATGGCTCCCAAGAATTACTAAATTTCTCGATAATTGTCATAACTTAAATTTTTTTAGGAAGCTCCATTTCAGCTTCTCGAAGAGCATGAAGAATGAACAAAAATTCATGTGCTTGTTCTGCTATAGATTTACCCTCAACCATTTGAAACTTTAAGAACTTAGACTCAGAATATTATTCAAGACTGAGGTCTTTAGTATTATATATTTTGTCCAATTCATCCCATAATGCCTTTGCAGTGGCCAAAGAAGAACAATAGACATCGAAGATTATGTTGGACATAGCCAACAAAATGCATCCTTTGGCTATTTGATCCTTCTCCATCCACTGTGCAATTTTATCTGCACTATTATGATCTTTTTCATCTAGTTTTGAGTATTCTGTTAATATCATTGCCAACAGCCCCTTAGTTGTTAGCCAGATCTTCATACGTTATTACCAACGTTTGAACAACTGACCAGAGAACTTTTCAGGCATTACAGACATGTCCATTTTAGAGGCATATGAACCAGAACTATCTCCAGAAACATACGACATAACTTCCATTAAAATTAGTTTCTTCAAGATTGTATGGAAAAGTAAACATAAAAACAAATCCAAAATAGTACATAACAAACCATATAGGAAAGAAGGAAAAGAGCAAAAAGTTAGAAACATCATATTAAATACACTTCAAGTTTGAAATACTTTAAAGAAGTGTCGAATCGCCTTCTTAACAGAGGACTGACCTTGAAAAAACTATATCCCACCTACGGTAGCATTGGGTCTGCACAGTACTTCTGAGGATGAGACAACTACAGTCTAAAAAAACGCTCTCTTCTCGTGAACACCACGACTACTTCTTCAGTTCGTCAGAACCTCTAATACTTAACAACTTATAGAATTATTAAAAAAATAAGAAGATAGGAGATTTTATTTTTCTCTATGTTTTAAATAATCAGAATAAGCCCTTTTATAAGGTTCATGGGAGAAAAAGATTTAAATTCTAGTTATTATAATATTTGTAACGTCTACAATAAAACCTATTCAATCATTGTAATGTTTGTAACGTACGAAACGTTCAGTTGGTTTTAAGTGAGCACATGCAAAACGTTTAAGCTCGTTTAAAGACAACACGTGAAAAAAGAGCACGCGCCAGCACGAGTCCGCATGCATGGTCCCGCTCGCTTGCTCGCATGCTCATTTATGTACTAACACATTTGTTATAATATTAACACCTTTGTTATACCATATATAACACGAGTGTTAATTTGAACCAACTAAAATGCATTCAATTAGCTAATCTGGGACTAAAACTCGCATACTACTTATTAAACATATTGTAATTTTCATCTATGAAATCCAATCATTAAATGATATCTTTCCATAAAAGCCCTCTAAGCTTCATTTATTTCAACACATAGCACTACTGTATAGTTGTTTTTAAATGTTTCTAGTGCTAATAATGTCGACATAATCTATTAACTTTCTTTTCAAAGAATTTACAGTTGCCTCATCGCAAGGACCATTATGCTTGACGGATGAAATATAGTGCTTTAACGTGTTATGTTAATCGCTTTCAATCAGCCGAGATTCACTTTCATGAGCAGAGATTACCGTCAACTTTAAGCAGAACCTTCTGCTCAATGGATTGGAGACTTCCAGCCTACTTGTCATTTCACGATGTCATAATCCCAGTACCTTTCAACGAGAACCGACGCATCACTATTGTTTCCATCATGGAAATCATTGAAACAATGCGTTATTATGAGATTCAACCGACAAGCATAAAGTTTAGTTGCTCGTGTAACCACTAAGTTAACATTGGAAGATCGGAAAGTAAATGGGACCAATTGCCTAGCTACTCCTCGATCTTATGCATGCCAAGATCTTTGGAAATAGTATGAAATCATGGGTACTTCGTATTTGAATGATATTTGTCTCATATATGGTTTAGAGGAATGGATATTATAGTGCATGTATTTGGTTTGTGACTGTTTAGCTCCGGCCCAGTGCTTTTAATTTATCCCTCCGTTATGAGCATAAATGATCCTTATTTGATGCTTACAGAGGAAGAAAATAACCAAGAGGAATCAATCAAGTTCCTATCTCTGGAATCTAGATAATGTAATGTTTGAATACGTATAGCGTAAGGCTTAGATATAAGGGGTTAGGCGCTGTGTTTGTTTAGTTTATCTTTCCTCTAGCCTTTACAGGGACTAAGCAATTAAGCTGCAATGCATTTTATTGTTTAAATTACTAGGAGAGAGAACTTTGCGTCCATTGACATCCATCCATTTTCTTGAGAAAAGGGATCCTCCCAACCTCCCTACTTAATTTGGAGAAAAAGAAGAGATTTTGGAGGATCCAACCAACTTTCTTTCTTTCTTTCCTAATAACATTAGCATGTAAGTATCTCGATGCTCATCTTTTTTGTTATGTCGAGGCACGTGACATGTTAGACTTGACGATATTACTTTGAGGGTTAACGTAAAAACCTTTCAAGAGGTTTTAGTGGAATAACAAA